CGCAACGACGGCGCCCAGCGCCGGCGACCACGCCTTCCTACAAGCCATCCCTCCTTCCACCCCTACAACCCCACCCCACGCCCTGGTAGGGATCCGGTTCCTACCATCCTTCAGTTATGATGAATGGCACTAGTCATAGCAAAGACATAACGTATCAACAATGCAGTACATAACTTGTCATTGGTTTATCAAAATAGATTTTCATTGGAATTTATGTGAATGTACAGGTAAAACACACTTTTTTCGATGGAACAATGCAGTCTTGGTTGGCGTTGGAGGTTTCCTGCTAGTAATATCAATTTCTTGCTTGGTTTTTCATATATGGGTCAAAACACAACGACCAAGAGGTATGTATTCTCATCAATTCACCACTGCATAAGATAATATTTGCCACTTTATTTTTCTAAGTACGTATATTAATAGCATAACATTTCATTATTATGTTTCAGAACAAACAATATTTAAACTAGGACGGCTGTATTTGTCAATACAAATTGCAATAAATCTTTGGAGGATGGGAGGAGCCAACACAGAATTTTCAGTTTATGATTTCTCCAAGATAAAAGAAGCTACAAATAACTTCTCGATTGGTAACAAACTGGGACAAGGTGGCTTTGGTCCTGTATATAAGGTGATTGTGTTGTGTACTGGCATACTAAATGCTATCTTACTCAAAATCCAAAGTGAACTTGCTTGACTGCTTTTCTTTGAATTCCATATTTCATAGTGAGTTGCATTACTTATAGTCACCCATGAAAAGATATGTGTTCTGCAACTATGCATAATTTAACTTTTCCCCAAAACATGATACACTGTGTACACTTATTAACTTGTTTTCCTTTTTTTCTCAATCTCAGGGCCGATTAAGAAATGGACACAAAATAGCAGTCAAGATACTGCAAACATCTTCTTTGCAAGGTTTACTGGAATTCCAAAACGAAATTCAACTCATAGCAAAGGTTCAACACAAAAATCTCGTGAAACTGCTGGGATGTTGCACTCAAGGAGATCGAGAAAAAATGCTAGTATATGAATATATGGAAAACAAAAGCCTAGACAACTTCATCTTTGGTAGCATTTCTAGTTTTGATGTGCCAGAAGCCTAGAGCACGGTATTATTTATAATTTGGTGACGTGTTTTGATTAATTATATATGTTCTGCAGATATCATTAAAGGAAGGCGATTAAACTGGTCAAAACGTTTGCGCATAATTGATGGGACAGCTCAAGGTCTTCTTTATCTTCACAACTACTCACGAATATGCATTGTTCTTAGGGATTTCAAAGCAAGTAACATTCTCTTGGATAGTGTCATGAATCCAAAAGTATCTGATTTCGGAGTGGCCAGAATATTCTGCTCAAATATGGCAGAATCAAATACCACCAGAATAGTGGGCACACAGTAAGAACATAAAAGCATGTTCACTTTTAGTGAATATCAAATATGTCTGCTTCTTTTGGAAGGAATGAAAATGCATTGAAGCATCCTATGAACTTAATCTTGAATTTCTACCTTTTGCATTAGTGGCATGCATTGATTTTACTTCCACCATATAGTGGCTATATACCTCCGGAGTATGCTTTTGAGGGGGTTTGCTCGACCAAGACAGATGTATTTAGCTTTGGCGTATTGATTTTGGAGATAATAAGTGGAAAGAAGACAGCCCAGTTCTATCAATACAATGGGAAACTATACAATCTCATTGCATACGTGAGTGAAGTTACCCTAGACCCCAATTTACACTTCTATGCATACCAATTTTCATTTTACAATATAGTGTGTATATTGTTTGTTTCAACGTTGATAAAATCACAATATTTTGACAACAGGCCTGGCAACTTTGGATAGATGAAAAGTGGAGTGAGATGACTTATTGTCCACCAGAGAACGAAAATCAAGAGATAGAGAGGTGCGTTCATGTGGCACTTTTATGTGTTCAAGAAAGTGCAGAGGATCGACCAGCTATGGAGCGTGTTGTCATGATGCTAAACACCAAGAACATGAGCTTACCTCCACCTAAGCAACCACCTTACTTCCATGTAAATCCAAGTGAGGAAGAAGTTTCATCATGCAACATTACTATAAGCATCACATTAGAGAGGTAGCACAACATAGTCATCAGCGCTGAGAAAGATGCTAGTTGCATTAATTAAGTTTATTTGCCTCCAAATGGAACTATTTGCATTAATAATTTACTATAGTGGTGCCGATGTGCTTGATGTTTATGCACATCTCTCTATCCTATTTTCTCACCCAAACATATTATACTTTTTTTCAACATGCAAAATTTATCGCTTTCTTCTTCTTTATTTGCATTAATATGCATAAGTAGAGCTCATGCTTTTCCCCGTCAGAAAAAGGAAGAAGCATGTTGAAGATATATATCACCAGTTGCAAGATAACTGAACAAACGAAAACAGAAATGGTAACATTTTGTTATGTTGTTCAGTTAGAGCATCTCCAGTCGTTGGTGAAAGAGCAATCATGTCCTTATATTATGTTTTGATGTTGATGACAATGTACATGTAGGGGGTCTAACAATGGTTGTCAAGTAAATCTCAGGTGTTAGCCCCCGGTTCATCGAAGTGTGTGGATCAAGAGCATACAGAGTGATTTTACTCAAGGATGAAGCATAAAAGTTGAATACATATTTTGTTTTCTTGAGTATAGGATCCCGCACTATTAAGAGGGGATCGATTGGGATAGTTAAAAAAAGCTTGCTCTTGCTACAAAACATCCTTGCCATATTTGCTCATGATAAAATCTTCATGGTTCTGTTTCTGGGCTGCCGGATGTCCGGGCTTAAGGCCGGATGTCCGGGCCTCACGCCAGATATCCGGGCCTAGCCATTCCAGTATGCAGTTTTGTGTTGTGCTGCTGCCGGATGTCCGGCCCTCTACACCGGATGTCCGGGCTCCCAGTGCTCCCCGGATGTCCGGGCTTCTCGGCCGGATATCCGGGCATAGCTGTCCAGAGGACGTGTTTATGCTGGGCTGCGCGCCGGATGTCCGGCCACCTACCGGATGTCCGGGCCTTCTTGTTATGCCGGATGTCCGGGCTTGGGCCCCGGATGTCCGGCCCCTCTGTTCTCTTCTTCTGTTTTTGTTCTGTTCTCGCAGCTTACCATGCCGGATATCCGGCCCCTAGCCCGGATGTCCGGCCTGCTCACTCACTTACACTGCAACGGCCATATTCAAGCTCACACTATATATAGCCCCTCTTCTCCACGGGAGAGGGTTGACCATTCACCCTTGAACAAACCCTAGAACACATCTCACTCTCTCTCTTACACCTCCACACCAAATCTTAGATCCCCAAGGGATTTGAGAGCATTCGAGAGAAGTTGTCCAATCAAGTGATAGATCCACCCCTACTCCATCTTTGCACCAAAGGAATTTGTGATTTGAGAAAGTCTTGAGCTTTTTCCCCATCGATCTTGTTACTCTTGGAGGTTGGAGACTCCTAGGCGGTAGGAGTCTTTCGGAGAGGAATCAATCTTTGTGATTACCCCCGAAAAGTTTGTGAGGGTTTGGAGACCACCCCAAGGTCTACCACTAGTGGTTGAGAAACGCCTTTGTGGTGTTTTCTCAAAGGGAGAATAGGGTGAGCCTTCGTGGCGTTGGTGTGCCTTCGTGGTAACATCCACCTCTCTAACGGTGACGTAGCTTCCCTCCAAGGAAGTGAACATCGGCATACATCCTCGTCTCCCGGAGTTGCGGTTATCCCTAACCCTAACTCTCTACTTGTGGTTACTTCTCTCTTAGCACTTACTTCATCACTTTGTATTTGCCTAGTTACTACTTGTGTTACCTGCTTAGTACTTAGTACTTCACTTGCAATTGTTAGGCTCACTTTCACATTCCGCATTATTGCCTAAAAATTGTTAAGTAACAATTAAAATTTGTAGTTGTACCTATTCACCCCCCCCTCTAGGTCCATCTCGATCCTTTCAATTGGTATCAGAGCCTCGTGCTCTATTCTTGTGGCTTAACCGCCCTAGAGCGAGATGAACCCCGATGGGACTCCCCTTGTTGTAGATCCGAAGGATAAAGGCGGGGCTTCTTTTGAAGTCAAGACCTTTACTTCTAAGGATCTAGAACGGGCCCTTGCTAAGCAAAAGGAGGAGCATGATGCTTCTGTCGAGGCCTTGGTCCATATGAGGATAGCCACATTGTCCACGGTGCTTGCACAACTTTCGGGTGGTGCGGCCTCGAGGCCAACTGTGCCTACTCCGTCACTTGGTCAACAACCTCCTAGCAATGAACACTCTAGTGTTCCTTGGCTTTATGCAAGACCCCAAGTTGAGAAACCAAAATATAACTCTCAAGGCAAACCTCCTTTACTTGATGCCACTTCCGATTTTGCTTTGTGGAGAGTTGCTATGCAGGATCATCTTCAATATGGAAATGATGAGATGCTAGAGATCTTGGAGTATGGTTACCATGTGGTTGATCCAAAGAATCCTACACCAAGAGAAATTTATGACAAGAATCTCAATGACACTGCAATCATGTGTATAAGGAGAGGTATGGTTGAAAAGCAAAGGAGACCTTTCATACACATCACAAGTGCCAAGGAATTATGGGAAAGTATTATAAGATCCAAGACCGGTACCTCCACCCTCCGGAGTGCTCAATATGAAATTGCCAAGGGACAATTGCAAAACTTTTATATGGAGAAAGGTGAAACTCCAAATCAACTCCTTGAGCGTCTCATGACTCTCACCACTGATATTGAGTCGTGTGAGTGTGACAAGACACAAGATGGATTTAACATGACTAAGCGATTCCTTGTGGACAAGTTGCTCCATGCTCTTGCTCCATATCACCATCAGATGGTATGGGACATCAGACAACACCATGCCTTCAAGGAAATGACTACAGATGACATCATATCCACTTTCCAACTATTTGAAGAGTCAAAGGCAAATGCTACAAAACATCTTGCCATGCATGGTACTCCATCGTCGAAGATCAATCTTGCATTGAAGGCCAAGCATGTATGTGAAGATGAGCAAAGTGAAGAAGAAGATGATGATGAAGAAGAAGATGGTGATGAGGTTGAATCCGATGAGGGCCCTTCATATGAAGACATGGCTCTCTTTGTCAAGAAGTTTAGCGCGGGAAAATTCAAGGGTAGGTTTCAAAAGAAGAAAGTAAGAAAATGCTACAACTGTGAAGAAACCAACCACTTCTCCAACGAGTGCCCTTATGAGAAGAGAGAAGATAAACCAAGGTTTCCCAAGACCTTTCCCAAGAAGAAGCTGCCAAATCCTTTGAACTCCAAGATCAAGAAGAGAGATGGGAAAGCAATGGTTGCTCAAGAAGAATCCGATCCAGATGATGTTAGTGGTGTTGCCGGAGTTGCTCAAGATTCTCAAAACACATTGAGGCTAGTCAACAAGAGTGGTGAAGTTGTCACCTACAACTACATGAAAGATTACAAGGGCAATGCTCACAAGTGCCTCATGGCGAAGGCCATGGTAGAAGATGGAGAGGACCAACACTCTCCTGACAAGGTCAAGGTAACCCCACGATCAAACCCTCCTCTTTTCACTCCTCCTACTTCTAGTGATGAGTATCTTGATGCGGAGGATAGTTATGAGGATGATGATATAAATGATCCTGCTAAATTAAATAAGTTCATGTGCTCCCTTAAAGGAAAGAAGCTCACTATGTTTCGTATGCTTATGGAGATGGTGAGTAAGCACACCATTTCCATTAAGGAACTCGAAACCCTTGTCACCGAGGAAAAGGAAAAATATGAAATCCTTGAGCGGAAAGTCCAATATGAGGAAGCACGCAATGATGAACTATGCTTAAAAATTGGTGCAAACATTGATGTTCATACTAGGGATCTTGCCTCCTTGAAAAAGGCTATCAACTCTTGCGAAGAGTTGATGAATGATAAAAGTAAGCTTGTAAAGTCTAATGCTTCTCTCTCTAAGGATTGTGAGCTCCTATCCGTGTCCCTCAAGACCAAGGAAGAAGAGCTCACCCTCCTTACAAAGAGTTTTGAGACACTCAAGCTTACTTATCTTGAAACTCTAGCCAAGGCTTACTCTTCTCCTATTATCAATGTTGATGCTTGTACTACTAACTCTAGTAGTGATCTAGCGTCTATTCTTGAGGAGAATCGCTTTCTCAAAGCTCAAATTGAGAAAGGACTCATGACATGTGCTCAAGGGCAAAAGAACCTTAATGAGTTGTTGAGCCAACACAATGAGGTGTTTGCCAAAGAGGGACTCGAGTTTGACCCAAGCACAAGCAAGAAGAAGACGTCCTCTCAAAAGTGCACCACTCCTTTAAAAGAAATTTTTGTACGTGAAGGGCACAAGGAGAAAGGTAAGGTTGTTAGTGGGAAGGCCACAAGGGGCATGCCTACTCTCAACAAGCCAAAAGCGTTCATGCCTCCATCCTATGTACTTCGTAAGACTAAGAATGGAGAAGTGTTTGCTAAGTTTGTTGGTCCTCGAAATGCATTTCGGTTTTATGCTATTTGGGCCCCTAAGACCCTTGTGACTAACCTGAGAGGTCCAATTGCAAAATGGGTGCCTCTAACCAAGCCATAATTGTGTGTAGGTCGCTTTCTCCGGTGGAGTAAAATGGGTGATTGATAGTGGATGTACCAATCATATGACCGGAGATAGCAAGTTGCTCTACGATTTCATGAAAGCTATTCAACCATTTATGAGCATTATGTTTGGTGGAGGTTCAAAAGGACAGGTACTCGGATTGGGCAAAGTGGCCATCACAAATGACATGTCTCTTGCAAATGTGATGCTTGTCCAATCCCTCAAATACCATTTGCTTTCTGTTCGCCAATTGGCTTCTGTTGGCTATGATACACTTTTTGGACTAACAGATGTGAAAGTCTTTAAGAGAGATACTCTTGAAGTGGCCTTTGTTGGAGAGTTGGATGGCAACCTTTACACGGTTGATTTCTCGAAAGAGAGCACATTCCATGCAACTTGTCTAATGGCCAAGGCCGAGAAGGGGTGGCTATGGCATCGCCGGCTAGCCCATGTCGGCATGAGAAATCTTCAAGATCTCTTAAAGGGTAATCACATCCTTGGACTAACAAATGTCTCATTTGAGAAAGATCA